TCCAAAAAAAAAAAAAAACTTATTTAAAGTGATTTCAGATTTAGATAATTTTCTTTCTGCAATGCAATTTTCTGAAGCACAGGTCAATGGAGTTCAAGCAGTATTCTTGATGGAAATAAACGAAGTTTGCCGAATGCTGCTTCGCTTGACTTTTTTCCAAGGACACCACAATGCTTTCATAACAAATTTGCTCTGAATTTAACTGATGGACCATCAAATACCCCCAAAAAATACAAAACAAAAGAATATGTCTGGGGAAACTCATCAAGTGGTGAATAAACTAAATCTACTAAAGCCACTTGAGTGGAATTGAAGGTCACAGAATCTGAGACCAAAGAGACCTGGGTCAACTTTAAAAAGCATTGGAAGTCAGGCTTTTCTGTGTGCCCTTCTAGGAGTGAAGTTCAGGCTAACAACATGACCCGACCTCATTCATTATAAATCTATCGTTCTGCAATGTCAAGGCTGAAAAATTGGCCTGATGACAGTCTCAGTATCCTCCTGAATTGGATTACTTTTTCATACTAACTCGCTGTGTAATCTCTTGACCTATTCTTCTCATATCATTCCCTGAGTGTACAGGATGACTTTCCAAACTTCGGAAAGGGTTTCAGAGGTGATGTCAAGAACGTCACAAAATGCATATCAAATTACTTTTTATTTGTTCTGGTACTTGAAACAAGGTGCTATAAAAGGAACATGTGAGAAGTCTAATGTTAGGTTACAACAAACCATATTTCAGCTCACGGGGGACGCGATCAAGGACGAACCAAAATACTTGAGAGGTTTAAATTCAGCACAGCACACTAAGCGTTTCAGAAATATAATTGCATTCAAGTGCATCCTCAAGTGTGTACTAAAGCATGCAGTTCATGTTCAATGCTTCTATTTGCATTCATTTAAGATTATTTTTGCATAAGAAGGAAATTGATGAGAATTACCTGGGAGGCGCAAGTTGACCACCCTGTCAAAGAGGTTTCTTTCTGCCGTGACTCGATTTAACACCTGGTTCAGGAGCTACAGAAAGACAATAAAAAACAAATGTCAAACCTGAAGTTAGTATTTAAAAAAAAAACATAAACCAGAGATGAGAATGTTATCCTAATTAAAGGAAATGTTAACTCAAAGAAACAAGAGGAAAGACAAAAAAAAACATTGCAAACAAACAAACAAAAAGCAACGCAAAACACAAAACAAGGCAGAAACAACAAAGCAAAACACAAAACAAAAACATAACATTATACTGCAAACAAACGAAACCAAAGCAAAACAAAACAAAAACAAACACAACACAAAAACATATTACAAACAAACAAAACAAAAACACAAAGCAAAGCAAAACAACAACAAAAAAGCAAGGCAAAAACAAAACAACATAAAAACAAAAACATAAGACTATATTACAAACCACAAAGCAAAGCAAAGCAACATCTTTTAACATGAACAGATGTAACCTGGTCCAGTCTGAAAGGGTTTCAGTGAGCAAATCAAACACATCTGGTCATAAATCAGTGATCAGACCGCAATAATTATTCCCTTCGCTCCTTTAGCACGCCACTTGGACTCAGCATCATGCGCCCGAGAATTTAATTCAGAGGTACCAAGCAGTCAGGTGCCAATTAATGCTGTTTACTATAGTGCATCGCATGTAATTGTATTGAAAGATAGGATAAATCCTTCAGGGACAGGAAAAAATGTAAATGGATAAGTATGCATGAGGTGGAGGTTCTGCTCCTCAAGGATGTGTGGAGTCCTGCTGTGCTCACAGGTGTGTTTCAGTTAAAGCCTGATTACAAGCCGCAGGTGAATGGACGCTGCGCTGGGAATAGAGCCCACGTAAGCGCTGTGAGAAAAACCCACCAGAAAACACATTTTCAAAGCCTTCTCCTCCATAATTGAGGCCTTGAAAACATGCAGTAGCCTATCCGCTCCTCAGTTGCATGGCACTTTCCATGAATAGAGTGCAAAATAGTATCTGAAAATGAAAAAGGGGGTACGTAACCTTCTGAAAATTGCAAAATGTTAAATGATAATTAACCTCAGGACATAAGGACAATTAATAAAAGTGATTAATTATTATATGCGTTCTATTTTTATATGGTTTGCAATTTTTTTTCAACCCTGTTACCAACTTTTGGACATTAATGAATACAGTTTAAAACCCTTATTTTTTGTGATTTCATTATTTCTTTGCAGTAAGATTAAAATACAGTATATATATAAAAAGAAATATCAAATACAAATAAAAAATAGGAGTATGCCAGAATGGTTAACAGGGTTGCAAAAACTGCAGATTTAACCTAAAAACAACTGTCAGTCAATAGTATCTAGCGAATTTTGCACCCAATGTACCCATTTTAGTTATTAATAAAGTTATATTTCCTATAAATTAATGATTAGTCAGTGTCAGGAAAAAAAAAGAATACATAAATGAAAAATATGAGATTTGTGCATTTAATGGTTTTAAGTAATGGGAGACTAAGGTGTACCCTATTTGTGGAAAGCACCACATACATCATCCATAAACAAACACTCATTTAAAAAAAAAAATGCCTATAAAGGTGAAAAGCCTCAAATACCTTTCATCTTTTTTTTTTCTAATAATGACTGCCCTCCCCTCCATCACCCTTGTAAGAACTTTTATGGTTTGACAAAATGACCTCATTTATGGATCAATAACCCCCAACCATTAGCTTCCATCCAATACAGATTCTTTGCACTGCTAAGCTGTGATACTTTATGCTTTAAATTGGCTATATTCTCCAATTCAATAACATTTTGGTGGGATTCACAAAGAACGAACTGCGTCCATTGATAGTCTTGTTTTTCACACGATTGTCTATTTCTGAAGCACCCAGTTCACTAAAAGAATAAATGTAAATCAGGTACAACGCAAAAATTGTAAAAAAAAAAATCCCAACGGTAGCTTTCATTTATTAAACAAACAAAACCAAATAATAATAACAATGGAACATAAATAAATAACGCAGGACTGTAGAGGAAGGTTCTGACATATTGTCTGCACAGACAGTAGACTAGTATAGTTCGATGTCTACATACTACACTATCCTCTTATTTCAAAAGATGAGATTAGTTTTTTTCATGTTATGACCCTCTTTTGAACAAGGTTCATACATTTTCTCAATGTTGTTAAGTTTTGAAAAAGTCAGAGAGCTGTGCACAAGCAAGAGTCTGAGAAAATAAACAGAAATGTTTAATAGCAAATTGCTTCAAACAGGATCATTAACGCGGCGTTCTGCATGAAACTGCTTTAGAAAAATGTTAATGGTGAGCATAAAATGCATTTCATTTTCAAATTTTTAGAACAACGTTTTCAGAACACATCCCAGCGGTCAATCACGCTCACCTGAGCCAATCGGCGCAGCAGCAGCTCGGCGGAGGGGCGGGTCCAGTCCAGGAATATTTCCGGCACTAGAGTGATGGTCATCTCCAGGACCCGTAACAGACTGACAGACAGGTCAAAACAGGTCGCGCACACTTTTAACTGCCGCGTGTCCACGAAATTCCTCTCAGGCCGCTCAGCTGCCTGTTGGATCTGACAGGAAAGAAATGAAGACATGAAAAGACCATATTGGAGACACAGGGAGGTCAAAAAAGATGTTATGAAACTGCTGATACGGGGCTTGCTGCACGGAATGAGGTAAAATAAGACCCAATGACAGTCAAATTATTCATATTCATATTAGAGTAAGAGCAATAGATTGAAGATAAGCCCATGGGCTTTTATGAATTAGGCAAAGGACCCAGAATACCCCAGCAACCAACCTGCAACCACCCAGAACACCCTAATAACTGTATGGCAACATGCCAAGGACCACTCAGAATGACTCAGTAATTGCATAGCAAGTAGGGTTAAGCAATATAGCTAAAAAAAAAAAATTTATCACGATACAATTTTTCATATCATTCGGTATCAGTAATTATTGACATTTTTTATAACCTCTTTAAACAAAGAGCAATAAAAAAGGTTTAAATTTAACCACTGTACGCACTGCACTGTATGCATGCGTGTTAACGTAAGCAGCAGCGCCATGCGCATGCGTCGTTTACATGAAGTGGAAGCAAGCGCATGTGTCGTGATACTCTCCACATTGGCGGCGAGTCGCTGCAGACGGGACGAGGAGTAGGGCTGGGACAATAAATCGATGCATCGCGATTCGTGGATCGATTCTGAGATTTTCAGAATGCATCGTGATTCTCTCTCGAATCGATTCTGAGCTTAGTTCTTAACAGCAGATGGCGCTCTAGGCTAGTTTTTAAACGCACACTCAAATGCTCATGAAAAGGAGCGCTTGTGCATTCGGTAATGTAAGTACACACAGTAATGTAAGTGGTTAAATGTACTTGCACATCGGCTTTTATGATTTTATGATGTGAGATTAATGTAAACACAGCCCACTGTGAACATCCTTGTAATTTGCTTCAACCTTTTCGAACTTTATGAATGATTATTTTAGGTTCCAATAGTGCATGTGTAAGTAACTGGAAGCAAGCAGAATACGGCTATTTCTAAAGCACGCAGTGCCATCTGCTGTTAAAAACTAAGCTCAGAATCGATTCAAGAGAGAATCGCGATGTCTTCGGAAAATCTCAGAATCGATGCGGAATCATTTCTCGATTCACGATGCATCGATTTATTGTCCCAGCCCTAACGAGGAGGAGAAAAATTGTTGAATAAAGTCGTTATTTTATGTTCACACAAAAACTATTCTCATAGCTTCGTAAAATTACGGTTGAACCCCTGATGTCACATGGACTATTTTACAGATGTCCTTGCTACGTTTCTGGACCTGGGAACATTGCAGTTGTGTTGCTGTCTATGCAGGGATTTTATCAAAAATATCTTAATTTGTGTTCTGAAGATGAACGAAGGTCTTACGGGTTTGGAACGATATGAGGGTGAGAAATTAATGACAGAATTTTCATTTTTGGGTGAACTATCCCTTTAAGGAAACTTTTGTCCACAGAAGGGCGCAATGAGCAAAATAATGCACCGCATTAAATTGTTTATTCATTGCAATGAAATAACAACTATCTATAAAAAAGTGCATAATGTCTGAACTAACATATATAAATTAAATAGAATTGCATACATTGCATTAACAATTATGAACAAAACAGCATCATGTATTTATGAATAGCTTAATAAAAAGGGACGGAGCGCCAATCACACAGATTGCATTTAAAAACATATGAGACGCAGTGGAATGGAATAAACCCCCAGAAATTCTCGAGACATGTTTTCTGAAACTTGAACCTCTTTTAACTTTACATGGCTTTCTATACAGCTCTTGTGTGAGACGCGAGTGCAACAGTTATAGTTGCCGGTCTAGAAAATTTGCAGAACATGCGTTCTGGTTTTAACCTAACCAAGATCATCTCCGCATTGAGCTTCTACATTCCTCTAATATTTTGAATGAAAAAAAATGCAGCAGTGGCGCATCTCGTGGCTTCAACTGGTTAAACGAACAAAAACATTAAAACGCATCAAAGACTTGCATCATCATCACTGCATTTTGATAAGTCTCCCTGACGCACACATAAAATTAGAATGCTAATTTTTATTTTAAATTTCACTAAATTCCTTTTTAACCACAATCTCCTCATCGCAGGCAGGCACGGCACTCATTTCAGCATGTGTGTTCTGATGTCACAACTTTTAGGCTGTCTGATTGTCACTAATAGCACACGCTATTTTTTAGGTGAACTATTGTGCGCTATATTTTTTCTATCGTAATCAATGAAGGTGCACCTTCGATAAATACCGATACCGTTTTATCGCCCAGGCCTAATAGCAAAAACATTTTACCATTCAGTTCTTTAGGTATAAAACATTTGTATTTAGTGCACATGTATTCAGAGTCTTGATGCTTAGACATTCTCATCAGTCTTTTCTACATCTACCCTTCATTTCAATTTAGTGCTCACTGAAACTGAGGCCGTAAACACATCACAAACTCCGCTGGAGACCAGTGCCTCCTAATTCGTGGATCATCACAGATGAAAGGCGCTCCTAAGAGCCAGCCAGACCTCCAGGCAAAGTAGCATGCGAATCAAAGTCCAATCTGCAATAAGTAGAATTTCAGCGCTTCAGCTCTCCTGAAAGACATTGATTTAAGAGTAGAGGAGAAAGCCTGGTGAGAAAGTGCTTTTACGTCTGAGGTTTAATTCCCCGCCACTATAGACCTGGGAGGTTTTGCTTTCTTCTGTTTTGTTTCTCCTGAGACTCCAAAGCCTGCGTTTAGTAATGACCCTACCACGGGAGGGGCGCGCGTGCTACTCTTCCCAAAAGGTTGTTTCCATGGTGTCCAAATTATCAAATTAGTGTGCGGCTGAATGAAGTTGTTAACGGGGTGAGTTGAGCACAAGGTAAACTAAATGTGTTTAGTGCTTGGAAGGCAGCAAAAGAAAGTAATGCTGTCAATCGATTAAAACTTTTTAACTAATTAATCGCGATTAATCTTACCTAACATTAAAGGGGTCATATGATGCTTTTTTAAAGATCATTATTTTGCTAAATGCATCTACTTTCGGAAGGCCAAATAAAGTGCTTTTGCTTTCGCCTAGAAACACACAGCATCTCCCTGACATGGCTGCATCAACACTAACTGCGGTTACTGAAACCACGCCTTCTTTCGTTGCGTGCACATTTGGGCAGCATTATGCAAATATTTCCACATAGATATGTGGGGGCGTGTTAGAACGAGCCGTTTTAGGGGGGCGTGGCAGTCTTAACTTTGATAAAGAATATCTCTTTGGTTTTGAGACTTTAGTCTTTGCAACTTCAGGGATCTTATCTATGCACAATCAGCTTGTAACACTCCAAAGAGAAAGGAAAACTTGAAATCGCATCATATGACCCCTTTAAAGTTTTTAAATATACTTTTATATTGCAATAATTGTATGCAATCTTCAAATAAATGAACAAACAACAAAGTCAGTATATATTTTTTTTATATTTGTTTAGTGGCATCTTTTTATGACTGAAGCAAGCATCACTGATACCAATACTGATGTATCTAGGAAATTGACCATTGATTATAGCCATTCAACATTACAGTAAGCCTATAAATGAGAGCTATCAATTTGAACATGTATTAGACTTTAAAAAAATAACAATGTTTAATTTAGCTTAAAACAGTCTTCACATAAACCCATTATAATCAATGGTGGTATAATAAATTACTGACATATGGCCTGACAACATCTCATCTGACTGAAAGTTCACTGATGTTCTGAAGCTCCTCGTCACCTGTACCATTTCCGCGCTCGTTTGACTAGCGCCTGGCGCTGAGGCGAAGTGGAGTGCACGTCTGAAAAGTCTCCCGTTTGATGTGCTTGTAAAGACATTCCGCGTCTAAATAAACACAATTTTTGTCAAGAAAAAAACAGACAGAAGCAGCAGTTTTGAGTGGGGTGGCCAACCCTAGCTTTGCCCGTGTTAAAAGCGTTAAATATTTTTAACGCCATTAAAGTGGAAAAATTCATCACATGCGTTAACGTGCTAATTTTGACAGCACTAGTTTCAAGTCATGTTAAATTTCAGGCTTTCATTATACATAAATGAAATGCAAACTGTGTCTGTATTTGCGCTACGAACGTGAATGATACTTCAAATCATGTGACTTGAAGAAAGACATACTATCACTTTAATTGTATGATGTTTACTTACTTAATAGTAATTTCCTAACAACACCCTAGAAACCTTCCAGTAAACCAAAGCAACCACCTAATAACAGTCTAACTGGCACTAAACATCTTAGAAACTCTTTAAAAAAAAAACTCCACCGCCAATCAACACACCAACAACCAGTCAGAACACCTTAGCAATGCCTTAGCAACCACCTAGAACACTCAAATAACTGCCTAGCAACACTCTAGAATCACCCTGGGACACCATAGGTGTCTAACACCCAAGAAAGTGTCTAGCAAATGCTTAAAACACATTCGCAGCACACTAGCATTGTGGCGTTGATGTTTGCATGGGCAAGCACCACTCCCATTTTCTTCAAAAGTTGCAGAAGTCTTGTTATTAGGCACTTCTTATCGATACAATCAAACACATCTAATGAATATTTCAAAGACTTAGTAACTTGAATTATGCAAAGATTCATTTTACACTGAAAATGCAAGATAATGGTTATTCAGTTCAAATATCAAGTGGCAGTCATGATTACATAGTCATAGTGAATAATTTACAGGCTCTGATTGAGTTAGCTACAGTGTTAGAGGGCTGATCAGTGGGGCGGAGAAAACAACCGGCTACAAATTTAAAGTTTTGGTTAAAAAACAAACAAACAAACAAAAAAAACTTTTACTCTAGCTTTATAGTACTTTCAAAACTTTGCTCTGTTTGCTTCAGTGTGTTGAAGCTTCAACTTCTGCCTGATTTTGAGGTGAGACTTTCTGTTTGTCTGGTATGAAGGCAAAAGTTTCTTACCTCCTGTATCATGCCGATGAATTCGGAGAAGGCCCAATTGAGCTGGTTTAAGACGCTATTGAGGAAACTGGCAGCCATGTCTTTGTCTTGACTAAGGAGTTCAGCCATATGTCTCTGCAGCAGTAGTGATGGACAGGGCTCTGTAGCCAATCAGAGAAAAGCACATTCAGCAAGTCTATGATTTTATTTCTTTTTAAATCATGAGTATAACAAAAATTACAATAGCAAGCTATGGGTAGTCACGTCAAAACATTCTTTAGGTTACGCCTTTCTGTCTCTGAATAAGATCAATTGTGGACTAGCCAATATAACCACAATGATCAAACCAACATTTTCTATAGTTTAGGATTTACAGTGCTCTAAGTCTGATTCTTGGTAAGTTATACAACCAGACATCACTTACATCATGTGGCAGGCTTTCATCATTGAAGAGGTTTTCATTTGAAATTATTTTCAAATATTAAAAAGGGGGAATCAACTGCCCATAGGAGAATGAGGTTGAACTGAAAGGAGATTCTAAAGGGATAGTTCACCCAAAAATGAAAATGCTGTCATTAATTACTCACCCTCACGTCGTTCCAAACCCCATAATACCTTCTTTCATCTTCGAAACACAAATTAAGATATTTTTGATGAAATCCGAAAGCTTTCTGACCCTGCATAAACAGCAACGCAACTGGCATGTTCAAAGCCCAGAAAGGTAGTAAGGACATCGTTTGTTCAAAGCCCAGAAAGGTAGTAAGGACATCGTTAAAATAGTCCATGTGACATCAGTGGTTCAACCGTAATGTTATGAAGCTACTAAAATACTTTTTGTGCGCAAAGAAAACAAAAATAACGACTTTGTTCAACAATTTCTTCTCTTCCGTGTCAAGGCGCAGCACATGCGTGTTCTATGTCAGAATGCCGGCTCCTGCATCAGCAGCACCATACACATGCGTTGTGGTACTCTCGTGGCTGCGCGTCGAAGACTGACACAGAAGAGAAGAAATTGTTGAGTAAAGTCTGTATTTTTGTTTTCTTTGCGCACAAGAGTATTCTCATGGCTTCATAAAATTAAGGTTGGACCACTGATGTCACATGGACTATTTTAACGATGTCCTTACTACCTTTCTGTGCCTTGAACATGGTAGTTGCGTTGCTGTCTATGGAAGGTCAGAAAGCTCTTGGACTTCATCAAAAATATCTCAATTTGTGTTCCGAAGATGAACTAAGGTGTTATGGGTTTGGAAGGACATGAGGGTGAGCAATTAATGACAGAATTTTCATTTTGGGTGAACTATACCATGAATAACTGGACTGTGAAGGTCTGGGCGTGTTAATAAAGGTTCAGGCAGGGTCCAGTGGTCTACAGACTCTCCCCTTGAAATCTGGAATTCAAAAGCTGGCAGCTTTCATACATCCTCAGAAAAAAACTGTGCTCATTATTGGGGCAGTACCCTCAAAGGTCCTCCTCTGTACCTTATATATGCACCTCTAAATAAGGTACAGATACAAGGTGTACCTGAGGCTTCTACCCAAGGGACAAGGCATTTTAGGTACAAGGTACAATTTTCGCACATTTCTTCTGACAGTGTGACAACCTGGCTTCCCCAGGGGCCATGGCAAAGTGAGTTGGTGCGGCAACTCTACCTCTTGTAGTTTGGGATTCCCTGCCTACTCCTTTCTTGAACCAATTGGGACAATCCCATGCACAGTTGAGACCAGTCTCTTGAGGAGAGGCACGCTCTGCATTTAAAGGAAGCAGTGATATTAACTTCAGCTACACCTCATCACACAGCCGCCTTCTTGGTCGGTCAGCAGAAAAGTGTAGCTGTGTCTCAGAAAACACTCTACTTTAGGTGTCGAGGAATTCCCTCCCCGCTCCCTTCCTGGACCTACGGGGAAACCATTGTGCATGCACTGGGGAAAAGATCAGGCTTGAGGGGTTCTTGCTCTGCATTTAAAGGTGGCAGTTACAAGTCAATATTAACTTCAGCCACACCTCATCGCACGGCCGGCCTCTTGGGTGGCCAGTTGCTACATGTATCTGTGCCTTGGAAAGCGCGTAAGGTGACTCTACTTTTGGTGCCACTGGATTGCTATGGGGAAACTATTGTGCATGCACTGGGGAAGGGATTGGTCTCCTCATCACTGCTGCCCAACAGGGATTGTGATTGCACTTTTCTCCGAAGAGAGGCGATTGAAGAGTCAGGGCAGCATTGATGTGAGTAAAGACAGTCGTTCCATCACAATCAGTATTACAAAAGGCCTGTCCATCTAGCCATAATATAACCCTTGGATCCCATAAGAATACCTAAAAACCATGTTTCCATGAAAAATTCATCTTTTTCATTGATCCCACAACCCTAATTATTCAATAATAAGACGAAATGGCAAATACCAAATGGCAAATACCATGGACGTACGAGAGGGGAAACAATCAGATCTGAACATTGCATGCGAACAGAATGACGACATAAAATAAAATAATGAAACAGCAAAACATAGGGCTGATGGGAAACCATCGCACCCGCCCTCTAGCCGTTCTATTACTGCTATCTGACCACGTCTGGAGAACACAGAAAGGGCACTCTCTCTCATTATATGCACACAAAGAGGACACTGGGTAATTTAATACCTTATCTGGAAAAGCACAGTGATCGCAAACACGCTAAAAGCCATGGAGCACAGTGTTAAAAGCAAGAGTAAGCAATGGCAATAAAGCTCTAAATAAAGCTAATCATTAGACACTGAGGTGTAGGTCTCTGATAGAGATGCAACCTTTATGTTTAATTAGATGAAGTCTGTGTAAGTGGCAGCTTGGAAAATAAGGGTTGGGGGGCAATAAGCGAGGAATAAACATAGAATGAAAAGCCATAAGAGAGACCAAGTAGCAGGCAGCTATGGCACGATGCACATGTTTCAGAACTCCAGGCGTTGAGAGGCAAGCAATCACTCTGTTAACGCAGAGTCAATTCCATTTTAAATCACTTTAAGGTAGGATCCGATAAACAAAATGGATAGAAACCCCTTTAAAAGATTCAGTCACCTTCATGTCAATCTAAACCTGCATTTCTTTTTTCTTCCAAGAAACAAAAAAGGATCAATTTTGCAGAATATCCTGGTCGCTCTTTTCCATGCAATAACAATTGTGGACTGGAAGTTTCCGGCTTCAAAAAAGATCAAGAACCATCATAAAAGTAGTCGACTTGTGTGCTACAAGTCTTCTGAAATGATAACTTTGGGTGAGGAATGTACTGAAGTTCAGGTCAGGGGTTCTCAACTCTTGTCTTCAAGGTCCACTTTCCTGCAGAGTTTAGCTCCAACCCTAAATCAAACACACTTGCACTAATAGAGGTATTCAGGATTACTAGAAAGTTATAGTTCGGTGAGTTTGATCAAGTGAGGAAAGAATACATCGAGGGCCAAAGTTGAGAACCTTTGGTTTAGGTTGTTATTCACTAACAATCTGCCCACCAGGGAACTACTCCAACCAGATCACAGAGTCAACTAGTTAACTATGTTATTTTAGTGGAAACAGTACCATGGTAAATTTCTGTAGGACTTCTTAAGTATTACCAGTTCATTTTTTTTACCAAGTACAAAATGTGGATTCTGAGGAATATTTGAATTTGGACTGCAGCCAACATTTGAGCAGCATAATTAACTAATAATCTAGAGTAGGACACAAAGGTGACACATTAATCACATAGTAATTGGCACAATTACTGAGGGAAAAAACAACAAACTACCGGCAAGGACAAGACATGGCTAGAAGGGACTAAAAGGAGCAAACTTGGGCAAAACTGAATGGTACAAGACAGCACTATTACTAATTTTAAGAGTGGGTAAATGGTCGTGTGGACACAATCCTAAAGGCAAATCAGTCTGCTGTGAGCCTGCTTTACCCTCACGTCAGTCATTCAGGCTACATCGAAGCAGACCAGCAATTAGGAAAGTGTTTAATAAGGGTCAACCAAAGGTGAAAACTAACAAATGGGAACGAAACTTACTTTGAAAACTAGCAATTGACAAATCCCCTGGACGTCATGCAAATGAGAGTGGGAAAAAAGATGGAATTAGAATTGAGACAAGACTCATCAGACCAGGGAGGGAATTCATGCATCACGTACAAGACAAGCTGAAGTGTCAAGACAAGTGTCCCTTCACAAAGTGACAACTTTACAATTTATTCCTCACAGCCAAGCATTGGCCTCTTGATTAAGCGCTCCAAGCCTTTCTTCTGCTAAGCAAATTGACAATCAATTCCTGATAGATAAAATCGACTCCTGAAGTACGTTACTTATTGAACATCCTGTTTTCCATCTAAATTATGTCACATTATAGAAGTAAAATCGGTTGTGAACGTTTCATATTGACCATGAAAAGGAACCTAAGCTTGCAAGATGTCAGTTCACATGTTTTCCCTGAGGAAGTTCCAGGGTGTCTACAGATATGAACAAGTTAAATTTAAGACTTTTTAAGACCTTTTTAATACCACCTTATGTGAAATTTAAGACCAAGCCTGTGATGGAAATACACATTATATTACATATGTATATGTAATATTTAATGCGTTTAAATGTAAAAAGAAAACAAAATATCATCGCTGTCAAAAATGCTATTTGTTATTACGATATACAGTGAACTTTTCATATCAGCAGACAATATCCCATACAAAATATTCCCACAAAACAAAAGTGTCGCATCACTGAGATTTTTGGCGGTGTAAACAGTTTATTCTGAAGCAATATTTTCATCAGTTTTCTGTCAGCTTTTACATACTTAAATCTGCATGTTTTTAATATTTACCACAGGATGTCATTTACCTTTATAAAGGCCAATATTTTTTTCACCTTATTAAATGGTCATCTTTCAAGTCAAATTCTTACAATTTATCAAGAAATTTAATACACTACAGGGCTGTTACCATGCGTGATTATATTTTGTCACTTAAGTTTTAATCAGGCTATTAGTCCTGTCGGGCAAGTACAATTCTCAAGCCATTTTTCAGTAAACTTGCATTAACCCATTTAAAGTAGTTCGGAGGCTGGACAGCGAGCTGGTGTTCGACTGTATTCTGTAACCGCAATTCTCTCTGAGGACGCGGTAACTACAGCGGGGGGGGAAGTACTCTTGATGGACACTCACTGGGTCCGTCAGACTGGAGAAATGTTTGTGGTAATGTGACCAAAAATATTTAAGACCTACTGAATCTGAATTTAAGACATTTTAAGACTTTTTAAGGCCTTATTTTAGGAAAACTTTATTTTAGACATTTTAAGACTTTTTAAGGACCCGCGGCCACCCTGAGTTCCCAATACACTGAGCTGATCTATTATGTATTCAAAAAAAATAGGCTGGCAGTGAACTGTGAGTGATTAAATTCAAAAAGTGTACTGCTTTAAAGTAAATTGATAAGGGGAAACATCTCTGGTTGACGCAACAGATGGTTTGACTTAATGGATGGTCTCTTAAAAAGTATTGATCTGAAGCTGCTGAAAGAAATAAGGTGAAGGAGCCAAGTTCGACTTTAATGAGTTAGAAGCACAGACTTTTTACAGTCGCACAGAAGAACGGCATGATGTCAAAACCGCTCTAGTAAAAACAGCATCTGTACTCAGTGTTCTACATTATTGATCATGACTGCCTAATAACGTCAGTGGGGATGTAGATTCCAGGGTCAAACATGATTTGATTTCAAATGGATGCTCACTCAGTTTTACATGCAGTTTCGGTAAATAAACTGTTGAAATGATATTCAATGAATTTCAGAGCAACTCTGTTACAGAATGATTTTCCCGCCATTAAAAATGGAACATTGAATAATTGTGATACCCAGACAGAAATGACATCATTTGGACCCTTACACCACAACAGGAAGTACAGGTGCATCTCAATAAATTAGAATGTCGTGGAAAAGTTCATTT